TGTGAGGTTCGAACTCCAGGAACCTGAGGCTGACAGCTTTGTGGAAGCAGCCACTTAAAGGACTGAGCTAGGGCCAGGCCCCCTGTTTCAGTTTTAATACTGAGGTCTGAACACAGGGCTGCTCCATCACTGAGCTGCGTCCCAACTATCATTCATTTTGCATTTTGAGACTAGGCCTTTTGTTTTGTTTTATTGAGACAGGGTCTCACTATGTCGTGCAGGTTAGCCTTGAACTCACAGCAGTCCTTCTGCCTCAGCCTCCTGAGTGCCAGGCTTACAGATGGTCACCACTGTGCAAGTCTGAGACAGGATCTTGCTGAGAAGGCGGGGCCTGGCCTTAAGCTCACAGTTTCCTGCCTCTGCCTCCCGAGAGGTTGGTGGTCACTGTGTGCTGCTTGTCTGCGTGACTTTGACTATTTTAAGTACCTCGTGTAGATCACTGGGTGCTCGCCCTTTGAACTGGCTTATTTCACTGAGCCTGCTGTGCTCAGCGTTCACATACACTGTGACACTGTACTGTGTCCAAATCGCCTCCTCCTTAGGCTGAATAATGCTCCTTCGTAGCCCCAGCGTGCTTGTTTATCTGGCGGCAGACACACGGCTGCTGCAGTGCTAGCCGGTGCCAGGTCTGCTGCTGAGCAAGTGGCTGTACGGTGCCTGTTGGGCTGTCTGCTCTCAAAGTTTTTGCAAGGCTTCTGGTGCAGGAATCACTGTGACTTTGTAAATGTTACCATTTTCGTTCTTGTTTAATTATTATTATTTTTGCTTTTTTTTTTAGAGAAGAAGAAGTATCTTGCAGTGGACCTCTGTCCCAAAAGCAAGCGGAATTTTTTCTTTCTCAGCAGGTATATTAATTCTGTAGTTTATCAGAGACGTTTTTGCACTGTGGCATTCTGGGTTGTGGCTGGTGCCTGTAAGGGTTAGCAGGGTTATTAGTGAATCTGCACTGTCCTTCCTCTTGGCCCTTCTGCGCTAGCAGTGCGTTCCGTCCCGTCCTGTTTTGGGTCATCTTATTTGTCTTTTTCTTTTTCTTTGGTTTCTTGAGACAAGGTCTCACTAAGTTGCCTGGCTGGGCTGGACCTTGGGATCTTCCTGCCACAGTCTCCCGAGTGCTGGCCTGACAGGCGGTCATACCTGGCCGGTCAGCCGGTCATCTTTACTTTTCCACTGAAGTGGTAATGCGCACTCACTTAGTAGTGGTGCGTGACCAGCGGTCTTGAAATGTGCCTTAGAAGACTTGCTTTCCTTCTCAAGGCCTTTAGTTACTATGGGCATCTTCAAATGAAAAAAAGAGCTAGAAAGCACTGTATGATAAATAAGTATAATTTAGTTATTAATGTAGTAAGTAGCTACATTTATTGATGATCACAGGATGGCAGCAGAAACAGAAGGGCAGGAAGAAGGGCAAAGTGAGAGAGGCTGGAGGAAAAAAGGAATTCAAGCAAGAAGGGGACAAAGGGGAATACATGTAATTTCATACCTGAGTTCTACAATTAATATTCTATCCATTCTTTATCCAGATGAAATAAGATTATTTTTCCTTTTTAAATATAGTACTGTGCTCGCTTCGGCAGCACATATACTAAAATTGGAACGATACAGAGAAGATTAGCATGGCCCCTGCGCAAGGATGACACGCAAATTCGTGAAGTGTTCCATATTTTTGGCAATGTCAGGGGTTGTTGAGTTGAGCTTTTTACAGCTCAGTATATTAATATGGCTTTACTTTTTATACCTCGTTTTTATTCTTTTCTGCTGGTTGGTTAAGACCAGGATAAAGCAAGACCTATATAACA